TCATACACAAGAAATCGATAAGCACTAATATTATGTGCTTAGCCAATGAAGATGCAATCTATCATTTTTGGCCCTATCCTTTCCTCTTTGGTGTTAGAACGACCACTTTGGTAAGACACCCCATACTCGTAAGTATTTATAGGAAGACTTTCTTCATTTCCATAACTCATAAGGGATCTTTTCCATTTTCTTTTGGAATACCTTATTTAAAAGGTAATTTGCTGATAACACAGCTTCTTCCCACATTTTTTGAGATAACCCAGAACTTACTAGCATTGCATTCATCATTTCCTTTAAAGTGTGATTTTTCTGTTTAGCAACACCATTTTTTTGCGGTGAATAATGTATGATGGTTTCATGTATAATTCCATGTTGTGCACAGAATTTAACAAACGGTGCTTCATGCTCACCACCTCGATCGCTTCTAACACTTTAATTTTCTTCTTAAGTTGAGTTTCAACTTCATTCTTATAGAGAACAAATTTCTCTATAGTTTCATCTTTACTTTTTAGCAAATATGCATAACAGTATTTAGTGTTATCGTCGATAAAAGTAATGAAATACTTGTTGTCACCTCTTGTTTGTACGAGTTTTAAATCACATACATCGCTGTGAATTAAATCAAGTGGTTCTGTGTTCCGTTCAATTGATTTAAACTATGACTTTATCAATTTTGTCTCAACACAAATTTCACATTTATGTTTGGAATCAATATGGAAGTCGGGTATGCATTTCAAGTTAACTAGTCTACGTAAAATATCATAGTTAACATTTTGTAGTCTACCATGCCACAAATTGGAAGACTCAAGCAAATAAGCAGAAGAGTTTGCTTTATTCATTTTTGGTTTAACAACCATTACACTCAGTTTAAATATACCGTCGGAAACATATTCTTTGCCAACAAACATTCTACTTTTTGACAAAATAACTTTGTCTGACTCAAATACAATGTGAAAACCATGTTTATTCAAAAGCAACCCAGACACTAGGTTCTTGCAAATTATCGACACGTATAGCACGTTGTTAAGAGTCAGCTCCTTTCTTGAGGTCATCTTCAGAACCACCTTTCATTGACCCTTGATTTCAGAAGTTGTTGAATTTCCTATAAACAACTTCTCCCCATTCTCAATTACTTCGAACAAAACAAACAGTTTTTTATTAGAGCACACATGCCTCGTAGCACCGATATTAATCCACCACTTTTTAGGGTTTGAACCCACCATATTCACTTCAGAAACGACGGCTGAGAGAAACAGTTCCGACACATCTTGTGCCATGTAGCCAACCATATTTGCTTCTTTCTTCTTCTTTGGTAATCTGCACTCCGAAGACTTGTGGCCCACTTTGTTACAATTAAAGCATTTTCCTTAAAATTTCTTCTTAGAAATTTCACCTTGCGGTCCTTGCTTGGTCCTTTTGCCACCGGATAGCCTAGATTTGTTTTTGTAGTTCTTACTACTTTGACCAAACTCCACAACATTGGCTTTAACCATATCAGGATTGAACCACTTCTTTTCAGAACTCTTGTTGCCTTCTTCAGTTCAAAATCTAACAATTAGTTCTTCAACGCTCATTTCCTTTCGCTTGTGTTTCAAATAATTCTTGAAATTTTTTCATGTGGAGGGCAATTTTTCAATAATTGCAGCCACTTGAAAAATTTTCACTCAAAATCATCCATTCGACATAAATTTTGTGAAGAATCATTTGGTGTTCTTGCACTTAACTCATAACTATTTTGAAGTCTACCATTTTATAGTCTAGAAATCTGCCGATAATGAACTTTTTAGCATCGGCATCCTCAATTTTATATTTTCGGTCCAAAGACTCCATAGTTCCTTAGCAATTTTCATAGTACTTACACATTGTATAGCGTGTCTGCTAAGCTATTCATGATATAGTTTCGGCATAGAAAATCCGAGTGGTTCCAAGCATCAAGTGCACTGATTGCTTGAACATCTCCATCATCCTCATTGAGTTTTGGAGCAGTCCCAGTCAAGAATTTCGCAAGATTCAAAGTGGTTAGGTAAAATAGCATTTTTTGTTGCCACCTTTTGAAATTCAAGCCATTGAATTTCTCCAATTTTTCTCCATGATTAGCCGGAATATTAACGGTATGGCCAGTTGTTGGAGCCACAGTTTGATTCACAACATGACTTGGCAATTTAGGCACAGTTTGAGCTACAACAGAGCTTGGTCCTTGAGCCACAGCTGAACCAATAGCCTGATTTTCAGTAGGTATAGTTTGGGTCACATCCATATTGATCCATTCAGTTGCCATTTTTGAAAGCCAAAAAAAAAAAAAAATAGTTTCTAAAGTTAACAATATAAGAAACCAATTTTTTCTAAAAAAATCTATTTTAAGTTTGTTGGAATATTGTGATGATAATGAAATCGGATTATCACATACCATATGTTTAGTTTAGATACCAATTTTAAGCATACCGTATATGCATATACTATATATGCCGCTTGCCGTATATGCAGTTTTTCGTATTTGCAGCCTACCGTATTTGCATGCAACTTACCGTATTTACAGTTTACCGTATATGCTGCCTACCGTATTTCCAGAAAGCTCACCATATTGGTACAAAATTTTCACAAACTATTTTTATTCCATTTCATATACAGTGAGTGACTTTACACATATTTGCTAGATACCGTATATGGAACTAACGTACCGGATATGCACTTACATACACCAAAATATAAAAATACCGGATTTGCATATATTATCTAAATAAATACCGGTTGGAAAACTACCAAACCGAATGTTATCAAATTAATTAATGTTCTTTAGAATTTTTTCCGACATGCATATAATAAACTGTAAAATTATATGAAGCGTATATACTAAAATAAATTGAAAAATCTACGAAGCATAAGATTAAACTGCAAGTAAATTCCAAATAAATCTGCAAGAATAAATCGCAAATATGTGGATTGCAGGAAATAAATAACTTTTCAACCTGAGGCTTGTACGAACACAATTTCCTTAAAACAGATTTGCTCCCTCACTGTGGTGCTTATGGTTTAATCTGAGCATCTGTTTCCCATGATACAATGGTAAAACTTGTAGAATCTGAGCACCACAAAAACTACTCGGATGAACTGATTTAACGTCTGAACAATATCACCACGACCTTAATGGACAGATATACGTATGCAAGAAACTACGACCCTACTGGACAGATGCAGATATCCGAACATTGCAGAGAGAGAAGAGAACGATTTTTTCACCTGAGAAAATTGCTGAAAACTGAGTTTAATTTATAGACTTAATTTGTCCATTAATCATTGGAGTTATATTTGTTTCTGTAGTTTCAGAAACTCAAAAGTCAGTGAAGAAAGCAAGAAAAAAATTGCAAAACGTGGACTCTCCAAAGTGGCCAATTTTTGCTTCGTTCGGTTCGATATTCGTATACGTAGGTCGCACCCGCACACAAATTCAATGTCCGAAGGTAATTTTAGTAAGAGATTTGCACCCCCTGCATGCACACGTGGAGAGAGTCTCTATGCTACACATAATTACACATTTACAATGTATAGCCATATTTAAAATGTTTTTTGCTTTCATATTTTTCTTTTGTGGGACTAAACTCATTTTTCTCACATAAACCATCTTTCAATGGTCATCTTTGAGCTCCAATTTCTCATTCACCTAAACTTCATTTTTGACAAATAAATATATGAGTTTAATGCTCTCACGAAGGAGAACACAGATCAACTTTGATATTTCAAATTGGACAAACGAGTCCCATCGAAAATTTTGCCAAAAGTGGGTCATTTACTCAATTTTTCCAACATTTTCCTCCAAAATAAAGGTTGTGAACATGTAGTATCCACTCTACGAAACAATTTAGCTGCTGAAAATGCTGTTACAATTATGCAACAAAAAGACACCCTCCAACACATAAAAAAGCATCGATCGACATCAGGAATTGGGAAATTTACTGCTCATCAAATTATTGCTCTTGAAGGAAGCAAGGGATTGAATGTTATAGAACTTTTAGATAATATTCAAGTTAAAATAAACTATTGCTTGGTCACTCCTGCTCTGGTCTAGGCGATTCTTCATATTTTTTCTGATTTAAGTTTGAATCTATGAAGAAATCTGGGCTCTGTAACTTGACAACTAGCAAAACACTAGTGGGTTCTATTTTTGTTGGTTTCTCTAGGGATCCAATATTTTTTCAAAGAATAGTTCCTTCAATGTATTGTTTGTGATCTTTTCTTTTCCGTTTTTTCCTTCTTTTTTTTTTTTTTTTTCTCTTGTACCCCCTTTTTTCGTTTGGGTATCCTCACTCGCAAGAAATTCTACTTTTATTTAACAATATTGAAAGAAAGGATTTTCTTTGTTAATTGATGTATTTTTAAAATGGAATAGAGATGGAAAAATACGTGAATTCCAACCTACTTATGAATATCTTTAACGTTTACAGATGAATCTCTCAAATTTACATTTATTTATTTTTAACATCAACCAATTAACGTGCAATATACGTTCACCCTACTACTCTTGAAAAAAGAGTTGAACATTCCTTAAAGCCCTGTCTCACAATTATTATTTGGAAGTCCCTTTTTTTTAACATATTCATTTTCAGTCACACATTCACATATTAAAATATTTTGCACATAAATTTAAATTTTTTCTCAACTTTTTAATTACACATTTTTCTAAGAATTATTATTTGAATATCATTTTCAAGACAATAGTTGTTGCTAAAACCTTGTTTAGTTCCCATTAAAATTTTAATACATCTTTTTTTCTTCTTTTCAATTACATATTTTTCAATAAAATAATATAGCACATAAATTTTTATTTTTATTCTTTAATCACTCATTTTCTCAAAAATTACTATTTTAAAATATATTTTACTCAAATTTCTCATAATAATGGTGGTCAAGGGGGACTAAAGTAAGTTGTGGCGATAATTTTCCCATAATTTTACACGTCAGTACCAGTTAGCATCATTTCTTACTTAAATAAACTATATTATTGATAGTACAGCATCTGAAGTGGCTAATAAACCAAATTAATTTGAATAAAATAAGAGAAGAATTTCTTTCATAAAATAAGAGAAGAATTTCTTTCACGATTTTAGCATCTTGCTACCTAGCCTACCTTACAAGAATACAGTCAAATCAGTCGATCTATTTATTTTTGTTTTTTAATAATGATTGATCAAAGTATAACTCTCCGCTGGCACAACACCACCGGCTACTATAGCCATCCGGTCGCCAAGGTAACTCTTTTACCTTTCTTTTCTTTGTATTTTGGTTTGATTTATGAATTGGGATTTCATGTCTTCTTGAGATTTGATGTTTAGGAAGAAATTTAAGTTCAAATAGGTTAATTGATAGTGAAGCCGTTGATTGAAAATTCCGTAGTTTGGGATTAATGTACAATTCTTGATTAGCTGGTTTTTTTAATTTTTGTTTGTGTAATGTTATTTCTCATTATTTGAAGTTTCAAAAATTAATTTTTGCCTATGGATGCATAATTTTTAGCAGGGATTTGAATGGATTCTGTTCTGAGGTTGAATTGAAATCTATTGTTGTGGAACTGGCAGTAATATATTTTCTGTGGTTGCATATAAATCATGCATTGATGCTCACTATCAAAATTGAAACCACGACCTCTGCTGCTTTGATTCAGTTCCTTGTCCATAATCTTGAGCAGTTAGATTGTGGACAAACTTATTTACTTAAAATTATGTCTTCAAGGGGAGATTCTCATCATTTTCATAAAATAAACAAACCTATGATCTTGGCAAGAGCCCGCTGAACAGACCATTTTCTACACCTGTCTAACAATCAGATGTGATTCCATGCTATCTGCTTCCTAAAATGCCACATGGGCTGGAAAAAGTCAAGACTGATTACAAAAGGAATATGAATATTAACGCTGTGATCTATGTGGATTAATATTAACAGAATCAGTTTTATTTGCAGGCTTGCAGCCACTTGATATTCAAAAGAATAACCCATCTATAGACGGGTGACCTCACAGTTTCATAATTACCATCTTAGGCCTGCAACTCTTATAACACCAGATCAGCAGCAAATATGGAGGCAAACTTGGTCCAACCAGTTGTTGCAGCACTAATTTCAGCTATAATTGCTGCCAGAGCTTATAAAAAGAAGTCGCTTAACCTCTCTGGGGCTATTCTTGGTTTCACTGTCATGACCATTCATATTGCTGTCAATTACAGGTTCCTTTTCCCCTATATAAACACATTTGAATGAAATATGGATCTCCTTATCCCTACACATACAAAGGTTTTGTTAACTTCTTATGTTGCTTTTCTGGAATGAATTATAGGTTTGGAGCTGTGTTGCTCGTCTTCTTTTTCACTTCCTCTAAGTTCACAAAATTTGGAGAGGACAAAAAGCGAAAAGTTGATGCGGATTTCAAGGAGGGTGGCCAACGCAATTGGTAAAACTCCAACTCTCCCCTGACCTCCGTACACGTGGACACACGAGCGCGCTCACAGAGAGAGAGAGAGAGAGATTTCTGGGCGATATTTTGATTTAAACTTAATTTTACTCAAGCATTGACACCTTTGCATGTCTTCTATATGATTTTGTGTGTGTTATTTGGGAGTATGGAAGAATAAAAATGAGGTTTTGATTGAATCGTAATAAATGTTTTTATACTTACTATAAGGAGACGATTGAATTGTTATTCAATAAAAAATATTGAATGTTCAATTTTAATTATTAATCTGCATTTCCTTCCCTGCACAACCCCCCCCCCCCCCCCCCCCCAACCCAAAAAAATGACGGAAGAAAAGTTTGAATTACTTGAATTCTCTCAGAAATATGTCAGAGTATTTTTTCATAAAAAAATTTACACCATCCACGGGTTACCGTGCATGTACATTTGAAGATTTTCTGTCCTGAATCCTAAATTTCATTGCAACCCACAAGGATAATTATGATAAAAGAATCACTATTGTGAAACTGAAAGAAGCCTCACACCATTAACTTGATGTCAGTTGTATGAATGCTATTTTGCCATACAAGCATTATATTCAGACAACATTTTCTGTTTCCCTCATAGGGTTATATTACACAGTCCTCAGCATGTGACTTAATAAGAAGGTTGTGATTGTCGTTTTAGTTTTTTTTCTTCATGTTTCAAACAATATTTTCCAAGTTCTTTTGATCCATAATTACCTGAATATTTTGCGCACAAGTAATAGGTTCCTTCTTTCTCCAATTGCACATGATGGTCAAAATGCATCTGCAAATGATATATTCTAGAACGTAAAATGCCTGAGGCTTGTTAGCTAATTTATGTCATCTTTCTGGCTTTCACTATTTCTTCTTTACAGGATACAAGTTCTATTTAATAGTGGCATTGCAACCATTTTAGTCTTGATTGCTTGGAAGTTAGCTGGATCACAAGATAATTGCCTAAATTCAAAAGAATCAAGACTTATGACTGCTCTAATGGGTGGTATTATTGGCCACTATTGCTGCTGCAACGGAGACACCTGGTCATCGGAGCTTGGAATTCTTAGTGATGACCAACCTCGATTGATCACAACCTTCAAGGTAACTAAACACGGCTTTAATATTGTCTCATATTCACATTTCTCCTGTTTCTTTTATGAGCTACATTATTTCCAGTGATTGCTCCTGCCATTGAGCATTACTCTGCCTCAATGCTTCCATTTTTACAAATGAATTGAAAAGCAAACGACAAAATTAATCACAACTTTATTAGTCACTCAACCCAAATATTTTATTTCAACTAAAGTTTTGCTAGATATCACACCTACAATCGTGACATGAACAGAAAGAATGCTTATGCTGTTTGATGTAGTTGGGGCATCTTGCTGTTAAATGAACTGTCCTCCACTTCTTCCTTAAACTTCTTGTGCATGTTTGTTATGCAATATCAAAAAATATCTTGAAACTATCTATTCTTCACTACCAAATAAGCCACTAATGTTCCGGAACATTTTTAGTTATCCTTGTTTTTCCTTTTATAACATTTCTATGTTTTACATTTATCAATAAGTTCACTCCATGTGGTGAGCATGGTATGAAATTTTTGTTACATGGTTCATATTTTCATTTAATTTTTTGTATGTATGGAAACCGTTCTTCAATATGCCAATAAGGCTTCTATCTAATGGTAAAAAGACTAAGAGATTTTAAAACACTAAGATGTCTCAGGTTCATGTCCCAGTATTTGTATGGGTTGTTTATTTTTCTTTTATTTCCAATTTATCAGCCAGTTCAGAGGGGTACAAATGGTGGGGTAACAAAAGCTGGACTTCTAGCAGCTGCAGCAGGAGGCAGTGTCATTGGACTGGCATTTGTTATTTTAGGATTCTTCACCACCAAATGCCCGTTTGATGTAGCTCTGAAGCAGCTATTATTGATACCCCTTTCAGCTGTTGCAGGACTATGTGGAAGTGTTATAGATTCTTTGTTGGGAGCAACATTACAGTTCAGTGGTTTCTGCAGTGTTCGTAAAAAGGTGAGATTTCTTTGTTTTAATAGTTGGATGGATAGCTTATACTTGAATATGGACTTTTTGTGTAAATATCATTCCTGTTTGCTGAATTTCCAACTAAATCTCAATTGGATTATTAAACTTTAATTTGTCTTAGTTGGGTCACTGAATTCAATTTTTTTCAAATGTCACCTACATCTTGAAACTGCTAGAAATTGCTTAGTTGGATATCTTCCATGTTATCAATCTGTGGCCGGTCAATTCATCACTAGGCTGGGCTAGGAAAGTGTTAAATGAAAAACATGTCTTTTAAAATTTTGATCCGAGTAGTGACATATGAATTTTAACACTTGTTTGACGTGCCATGTGGTGAGTTTGCATGCTAAGGATCACGTGGAAATTACGGTTGCGCTGTCAACTAAGCAATTTTCATCCATTTGAGGGATGAAATGGAAAAAAATGACGGAAGAAAAGTTTGAATTACTTGAATTCTCTCAGAAATATGTCAGAGTATTTTTTCATAAAAAAATTTACACCATCCACGGGTTACCGTGCATGTACATTTGAAGATTTTCTGTCCTGAATCCTAAATTTCATTGCAACCCACAAGGATAATTATGATAAAAGAATCACTATTGTGAAACTGAAAGAAGCCTCACACCATTAACTTGATGTCAGTTGTATGAATGCTATTTTGCCATACAAGCATTATATTCAGACAACATTTTCTGTTTCCCTCATAGGGTTATATTACACAGTCCTCAGCATGTGACTTAATAAGAAGGTTGTGATTGTCGTTTTAGTTTTTTTTCTTCATGTTTCAAACAATATTTTCCAAGTTCTTTTGATCCATTTGAAAATTACCTGAATATTTTGCGCACAAGTAATAGGTTCCTTCTTTCTCCAATTGCACATGATAGTCAAAATGCATCTGCAAATGATATATTCTAGAACGTAAAATGCCTGAGGCTTGTTAGCTAATTTATGTCATCTTTCTGGCTTTCACTATTTCTTCTTTACAGGATACAAGTTCTATTTAATAGTGGCATTGCAACCATTTTAGTCTTGATTGCTTGGAAGTTAGCTGGATCACAAGATAATTGCCTAAATTCAAAAGAATCAAGACTTATGACTGCTCTAATGGGTGGTATTATTGGCCACTATTGCTGCTGCAACGGAGACACCTGGTCATCGGAGCTTGGAATTCTTAGTGATGACCAACCTCGATTGATCACAACCTTCAAGGTAACTAAACACGGCTTTAATATTGTCTCATATTCACATTTCTCCTGTTTCTTTTATGAGCTACATTATTTCCAGTGATTGCTCCTGCCATTGAGCATTACTCTGCCTCAATGCTTCCATTTTTACAAATGAATTGAAAAGCAAACGACAAAATTAATCACAACTTTATTAGTCACTCAACCCAAATATTTTATTTCAACTAAAGTTTTGCTAGATATCACACCTACAATCGTGACATGAACAGAAAGAATGCTTATGCTGTTTGATGTAGTTGGGGCATCTTGCTGTTAAATGAACTGTCCTCCACTTCTTCCTTAAACTTCTTGTGCATGTTTGTTATGCAATATCAAAAAATATCTTGAAACTATCTATTCTTCACTACCAAATAAGCCACTAATGTTCCGGAACATTTTTAGTTATCCTTGTTTTTCCTTTTATAACATTTCTATGTTTTACATTTATCAATAAGTTCACTCCATGTGGTGAGCATGGTATGAAATTTTTGTTACATGGTTCATATTTTCATTTAATTTTTTGTATGTATGGAAACCGTTCTTCAATATGCCAATAAGGCTTCTATCTAATGGTAAAAAGACTAAGAGATTTTAAAACACTAAGATGTCTCAGGTTCATGTCCCAGTATTTGTATGGGTTGTTTATTTTTCTTTTATTTCCAATTTATCAGCCAGTTCAGAGGGGTACAAATGGTGGGGTAACAAAAGCTGGACTTCTAGCAGCTGCAGCAGGAGGCAGTGTCATTGGACTGGCATTTGTTATTTTAGGATTCTTCACCACCAAATGCCCGTTTGATGTAGCTCTGAAGCAGCTATTATTGATACCCCTTTCAGCTGTTGCAGGACTATGTGGAAGTGTTATAGATTCTTTGTTGGGAGCAACATTACAGTTCAGTGGTTTCTGCAGTGTTCGTAAAAAGGTGAGATTTCTTTGTTTTAATAGTTGGATGGATAGCTTATACTTGAATATGGACTTTTTGTGTAAATATCATTCCTGTTTGCTGAATTTCCAACTAAATCTCAATTGGATTATTAAACTTTAATTTGTCTTAGTTGGGTCACTGAATTCAATTTTTTTCAAATGTCACCTACATCTTGAAACTGCTAGAAATTGCTTAGTTGGATATCTTCCATGTTATCAATCTGTGGCCGGTCAATTCATCACTAGGCTGGGCTAGGAAAGTGTTAAATGAAAAACATGTCTTTTAAAATTTTGATCCGAGTAGTGACATATGAATTTTAACACTTGTTTGACGTGCCATGTGGTGAGTTTGCATGCTAAGGATCACGTGGAAATTACGGTTGCGCTGTCAACTAAGCAATTTTCATCCATTTGAGGGATGAAATGTGAAATACTGGTGAAATTTGAAACTAAATTGAAATTTAGTGACCCAATTGAGAAACTTCAGTGATCCTGAATGAAATTTGCCTGTTACGATTTTCTTAGCCCCGTTTGACAGCCTTTTTTTGGGGAAGAATGAGTTTTTTAACAGTAAATTTTTGGAAAATGCACGGCTAAAAAGGAGGAAAAAGTTTTGGATTTGCGTGAAGTATATTTTATTGTGAGAATGTATGAGTATGAGAAAAAAAAGGTTTTCGAAAGAATGGTTACCAAATGTGGGTTTATTTTTACGTAAAAAAATAGTTACTTAGAGTTCATGCAGAAACAAATTTTCTTTTATGTTGCAAGATAAAGAGAAAAAAGTGGGGAAAATGATCATGGACCTGTTTGCAATATCAATACAAATTTCTTATAAGAAAAGACAGCAGCATATGATAATGTAAAGTGATGAAGGCATCACAGGTCACCTGGGGACTAGGATTTTTCTCGTGTTTGTTATCCCTTTAAAATATTCATATCTAGAAATATGTTTAGCTTAGCTTAGCTTAGAAGTTTACTTTTAAGTGAATTTTTTGGCAAATATGTTTAGACCTTTTGTTAAAAATTTTCCTTTTTTGAGATATTTAGTTCAAAAACTTATTTTCCAAAGACTTGCTTTTACTTGTTTTAAGTTTGGCCAAACGCGCTCTTAGTCAACATGTTGATTGATTTATAGTATAAAGTTCATGAGTTAAGAAATCAAAAGGGACGGTCTTATTTCTACTGTTGGTTATAGATTTCTAGACATTTGAAGTTTTTATTCAGAAAAAAATTGAGTTTTCCCTGTTTTTGCAGGTTGTTGGTAAACCAGGACCGACTGTAAAGAGAATCTCTGGTCTTAGTGTACTTGATAACAATGCTGTGAACCTCGTCTCAGTATTTTTGACTGGTGTACTGACTTCCATTGCTTGCTTAGTTATTTTCTGAGATTCATAATTCAAATGGATAATAATATTGAGTTATACAATGTTCAAGAATCATGTTGTATCCATTAGCTTTACCATCAATAAGATGATACTGAATTCATCTTGGATCATGCACAATTTTCTAATTGATATATGAGTGACAAATTATGATCATATTTAGAGGAGGATTTATATGCATCTTGTTCACTTTATAGTTTGGATTGATTCTTCGTTGAACAAACAAACATGTTTCGTGAATATCTGCTATGTAATATGGTTAGAACTGCATGCAGATATGGTTATAATCTGAAAGTGTTTGCTTTGCAATATTTTTCACTTGGGAGTGAGATTGCTAGATATGTATATATAGTAATGAAGTATTAGTGGTTGGTGGAGAAGTCACATCAATTATCATGTCTGTATCATGTCCATTATTTCGTTTCTGGAAATCCAGATCTGTTTGTATTAGAATAGGTGGACCGTAGAGAACCTGTCAAATGATGGGGATGGTTCTACCTGTTAATGGCTGATACAAGGTCGAGATATGATAATAAGCTAAGGTTTCACAATATGACAGTAAGTCACTTGATGGACCTATGACTAGCATTAGTGATGAACTCAGCAAGTTGGCTCTTGCATTGGCGGCCGGTTTGGAAGTCTGCTTTAGTCAGCTTATGTGAGCACTGTTCATGATCACAAGCATGTTCTGTAGAATATTGGTGTAACACTTTTTTGTTAATTGAAGTTCTTTTCCTCAAACTGTTATGTTGAGATCGGGCTGCGTGCTTGGCTATTATGGACTTGGTCTTTCCATTAAATACAAAAGAAACGAGCATTCTGATATCATGCTTGGTTAACGCACTTCTTTTTCTGCTATTATCCAGATACGTAGTTTTTGAAAGGAAGAGTAAAGAATAGGATTTAACTTCGCTTCCTTGATATTTATAATGATGCTATCTAGCACCAGTTTATGTAACATTAGGTGATATGTTCAATGAAATTATATGATTTATTTAATTGAACATGCAATTTTAATGTCACTAGTGTGATCACCTAGACTGGTGTTAAACACCAGTTGTGCTAAATCGCATTACTCGATATTTTATTGAATGTGCCAACATTATCTTGACTTGTCAAGAATCTAGCCACATCAAGCCTGAATTCTATGCAAATAGCAGCTATTTTAAGGCGTTCGAATTCTATGAAAATAGCAGCTATTTTAGGATGTCCGCTTTAATTGGCACGCAGTTCCTACATTGATGAATAATTGCTGTCGACTTTAGATTAAACCCGTCTCTCACAAATCTAAAACCATGTATATATTTGAAAGCATCATTTCCATAGCGAAGATCTCGTGATGAGGACTAAACCTATTGACCCCTGACCTTAGTGCAAACCTGTGGAAACAGACGGGGACTAGCCTCTTGATTACACAGTTTGAATCTCATGTAGAATTTGTTTTCCTGCTTGTACGTTGTGCTCGATTTTTCCACCCAGAAACGATGATTTGGTAGAACTAAAAAGAACTCCAGGATTAATGTTTTAATTGCAAATTTTAATTCTCGAATGATTTCCACATTTCAATTTAATGATCAATCAATAGACCTTTTGTTTTTTTATATTTTTATTTTTAAAATTATTTCAATCTCTCCCTTTCAAACATAACAGTTGTTACGATTAGTCGTTGAAGTCAAATAGACAACAATCTATCTATTTCCACTAGATGGTTACATTTTATACAATAATGCTATATTTTCTTTGCTCTAGCTGTCCTCTTCCGTGCACTTTCTTGAATCTCAATTTGTTACAAATCTTCCACCATATTTGGAGGGATATTTTCAGTTGGGATTTGCACAAATGCTTCAACTGACATGCCATTCTCAGTATTCAAAGAACCTGGCTTAGTAAGTGAACTTCAGTCATATTGTGCAAAATTAGTCAAGTCTAATCTAGGCGTTGGCATGAACTAGAACTCTAATGGTGGAGGTGTTGGTGGTTGAACTCCATTTCTTGAACTCGTGTTTGATCTCCTAGGCACTAGGCACTAGCTTTGCCTATGCTAAAATGGAAAAACCAACAAGCAAAACAATAAACATTTTGGATACATTAAACACAAGCCAATACGATGCAAAACACAAAACATGTTTGGTTAGCCTTTAGCAATAATCATTAATTTGACTAGACCTTTCTTGAATTGTACGCTCCATATCATAAGTAAGCCAATCCTAAAATAAACTAACACGTGAAACAATTATAATCATTCTAAGCAAACTTATGAAATGATAAAAACTAAAACTACTTAAAAGATCACAAATTTCTTGTTGTGCATCGGGCCTCTGATGGTATTGCCTGTTGTGCCCCATTGCTCCATAGACACTACAAGTCATGAACATAGTTCCTCGTTTCTTATTTTTGCCTTGGCCTCTGAACAAGTGATGACATTTTCTTCATGTTCTTTTATTCTCTTCTTTTGTTTTCTCCCTCTTTTGGGCACAAGTAAACCTAGTGGTTGATTGGAGGGGCATCAATTGGAGGACATAACTTAACGTATTTATAGGATTAATAATATTCTCTAGGGTGGGTGTCAAGTGGATCGGTCCGGACATTTCAATACCCAGAACCACCCATTATATTTCGGGTATTTTATAAATGGATCCATTCGGTTCCATGTAATTATTGCACCAAACCCAAACCATCAGTTCCAATTTGGGTTCGATTCTACCCATAACATTTTTTTGAATACAATAGTAAATCCAACCATGTAATTAGATGAATTATCACAAACTATCCATCATGTCATAGATTTAATAACTGACATTAATGGACTAATTTTCCAAGACGTAAACAAAGCCTAACAGATTAAAAGTTACATGAAAAATTAATAAGACTAACCTTAAAAGAGCATTAAAAACTAGTTAGAACTTAAAAGAACTTTAGTAGGAGTATAGGACCAACATTAAACAAAGCTTTAAAACTTAAAAGAGCATTAATAAGAGCACCTTATTATGATAATAAACAGAAGTTCAAAAAATGTTAAAACCAACGTTAGAAGTTAAACAACTGAAAAATGTCATCAAAAGAGCCATAAAATGTTAACCACAAACTCCAGATGATGAATATTCTCAATAGATTTTGAGTCACCTACATTAATCCATGTGAGTTGTATTGCACCAACCATTTAGACATCCATTGCATGAGTTGTGGCATTAACAAAATCTACAAGACATAATTAAAATATAATAATCATTACAAGTTTAACAAAATTAAAATTTATTAGATTAACAAAATGTAATATAAGAATATGGAAAAACAATGTTTACTTACCCGTCTCAATTTTTCTCGTAAAACTCCGTCTCTTCAATGCAAATTCCATCTTGGGGTACTTTCAACAATCTAGATTCTTCATGTAACAAATTTGGTGTGCAAATTAACACCTTAAATGTTTTAGGAGTTAAAGAACTCCTAAATGAATCAAGAATCCGTCCACTCGTGCTAAATGCTAACTCAGAAGCAATTGTAGAGACAAGAATGGCAAGCACATCCCTCGCTATCTCAATCTTCCACCATTATAAAATGTCAAATTTTGCATTTGCGGGTTCCTCAGTACTTTCTCTCAAATATTTTTGAATCTCATCCTTTCCAGCTAAATCTACATTGCTAGTTTTCAATTTTTTGTACCCTATGTCAACTTTATTAAATGGACTCATATCATCTCCATCTCCATCCCCATCTCCGTCTCCATCTTCATCATCATCTGAACCATCAACTCAAGTTACTCTGTTATTAGAATTACTACCACCAATTCCACCGTCAATACCGCTTCGTCCCTTGTATTCATTGTATAAAGCATACAACATTTTTATAACTTCACTCTTTAACACATCCACCTTGTTGTCATCATATAAGATACTTGCACAATATGCAACACACTTAAATTTGTACCTAGGATCAAGTACAATTGCTAAAAGTAAAAGCTTGTTCATTTTCTCAACTGTGCCCCAATACTTTTCAAACTTGACCTTCATATTGCACGCTATACTTCTTAGCAAATGATCATTTTTATTACTCAATGTTGTTAGTGCATGTTCAATGTTGCAAACTTCTTTGAAGTAAAGACTAGAAGTAACATGTAGTGAAGAACTAAACTTCAAAGTGACTTCATAAAAAATTCTTAAAAATTTTTCTTGCCTTATCCCAATCATCAATAGTAGGTGGTCCTTCTCTTTCGCGTCCATTTTCACGCTCGTCAAAATATTTATAATAAAATCCATCCTCTTCCTCCATCCGTTCAAATGCTTTCTGAAAATTCAATGCACTATCCAACATTAAAAATGTTGAATTCCATCTAGTAGGTACATCTAGAACGGAAAGCTTTTTGCAACCAATCTTCTCTCTTTCAACACAAGCTTTAAACTTCATATGCCTAGAAGGAGATGATCGAAAATATTTTATAGCATTTCGAATACTTGATATGGAGTGGTTAAACTCCTTCAACACATCATTAACAATCAAATTAATAATATGCACCGAACACGTAACATGCGAATAAGCACCACCCAAAACCATGCAATCGGCTTTCCAATTCTTCAACTTGTTTTTCACCCGTATCATTTGCATTTGCATTGTCAACGATAATAGTCGACATGTGCTCTATCCCCCAATCAAGCAAACTATTTTCAACAAGTTTTCCTATTGTATTCCCTTTATGATTTAGAACAACGGAAAAGCTTAAAATCCTCTTATGTAATTTCCAAGTTCTATCAATAAAATGCGCAGTGATTACCATGTACTTGATATTTTGAATTGATGTCCAACAATCAGTGGTAAGAGCAACCCTTTGCCTATTCTAAATAAGTTTATTCTTCAATGATTCCTTTGTCTCATTGTAAAGATGAGCACATCCCTAGCAATTGTTCTTCGAGAAGGAATATCAAACTTAGGATTGAGTTTTTGCACAAACTCTTTAAAACCCATACTCTCCACAAAGGAAAAGGGCAATTCATCAATTATAGTCATCCTAACTAGGTATCTTCTACATTATTCTTTATTATACACCGATGATGTAAGATCAAACATGCTACCATCACCATTACCACCATTATTTCTCTGTCGAGTTAAGGTCTCTTGTTGGTGACCAAACTGAGTAGCCTTATATGCATGACAACTATCCAAATGCTTCCACATACTAGAAGTTTCACCTTTTGAATTACTTTAAAGGACTTTCCTACAATAATTGCATTTTGATGTTTCTCCATTACCTACCTTAGTAAATCTCAACCAAATTGCTGATCTTGTCTTTGTTCTCTTTTTAGTTCCAAGTGTCTCATCATACATCTACAAAAAATAAATTATTTTGCCATAACCTATAACAAATTTAATTTGAAGAGGAAAAAAATAATAAAGGCACACCACAAATTTTGCTATTGAATAGAAAACAATAATGATGGCACACCACAAGTAATAGTACTAGTTGTTGCATGATAGAGACTTGAAGATAAACTTAGATTAGTCATTATTTTTAATACACATGTTCATTATTATTTTTATAACGAATAGAATTTATTTTTTATAATGAATAAACATACTCCTTGAAGAAGAAGTGAGAACTCTACTGGTCAAATATCTTTCACGAATTTGTGCATTTTTCTGAACCATGTGGGCCAATAAAAAGTCAGAATTAAGAGGTTTTAGTCCAAGTAGTTTAGTTTGCGTAGATTTCTGATGAGCTATTTTATGTGTGGTTGCCATTCTATCCCTCCTACAGATTGCTCGAAACATTGCCACAAACAAAATGGCAAATTCAATGCGTTACAATTATCTCAGAGGAGTTAGGGCCAATTCAAAAACCCATAAGAATTAAGATCATGGTTGCAAGAAATATTGTTCAGATATCTTGATAAATGGATACAATGAAGACGTGGAGTACAATGAACCATTAAACACAAATAAAATAAGTCGCCAACTCCTATTAAAAGTAATTTAAAAGTTGGCAAAAATCACATGCGGTGTTGGTGCTGGTGACGAAGCCATTGTTTGACGAAAGAGAATGACAAAAAGGAATTGGGAAATGAGGTAGCTGGCAAGTGATTAATTGATTATAATTCTTTATAGGTTTGGCAGGGGCAAATTTCTTTTGGGCAAGATTTACATATTTGGACTTAGTAACTAAAATGAGCCAAAAGATTTGGATTTCATATTTTCTTTAGATTGAATTGAGGAGCCCATTTAGATTTTAAGTTATAAATATTAAATTTTGTAACTTTTTAGGCAATCTATTAATTATTAAAAATTAAAAAATTACAACAAAATCGGTTCCATCTGGTTACCCATGGTTCCAATTTTCAAGAACCAAAAACCGACCCATACCCAATCGGTTCTCTATTTTTGGTTTCGATTCCTATTTATTTTTTTAGAATCAAATCAGAACCTCTTTGGTTTGGTTCGGAAGATTCGGTTCTTGTTAAAATGCCCACTACTAATATTTTCATTACAACAGAGGTAGGTATCAACTAATGCATAGTTATAAAACCTGGCCCGAACCGGTTGGTTGGGCCGAAAATCGGTAACCTGGGCCCCTGATCAGGCCGGATAAAATATTTTCATAGATATGCAATTGACTCGGTAAAAATCGAGTTGACCGAGTTAATTGGCGATTTTTATATTAACTAATCCGGTTGACTAGTTTGCCCAAGATTTAAAAGTTTGTCAATAAACTTTTATCTCAAAATGATTTGAACCTTAGATCTCTAGGTAAAGTGAGTATCACTTAACCACTAGAGATCAAGTGGTGTTTTTTTTTTTTTTTTTATGTGTTTGCAATAATTATGTTTATGTAAATTATTTATAGTTTGTTAAAAATATTTTTAAAAATTATAGTAACTATTTTGATTAACATGAATTGAATATTTAACAAAATAATATATTAATTATTAATGATAGATAATTTAATTTTTTTTTGTTTTATCTAAAAGAAAAACTTTATACTTTTAAAAAATATTTTATAATTATTAAGTATTGACCCACCAATCTAACCACTAACCTACCGATTCGACCAGCAACCCGAGACCCGGTGCCTTAATCGGGTCAATGGTCAGGTCGGGTTTAATAACTATGCATGAACGTATTTTCAAGACTCGACATATTTGTCTACAATAGCTACAACCACATCAGCACAAGAATCCTTGTCAATCCCATCTTCTTCACGCACGTCTTATTTGAGTTCACGTAAGACTGTGCCCTTGACAAGTCCACCTCAAACCCCTTAACCATTTCACTGTTCCTCATTAGTTTCTATTGTATTTAGGGCACAAAGGTACTCTATTTTTTCTCATCTTATCCTTCTTTGATTGTATCCACTTCATGAAGCTTATACGTATATCAATCAATATGGTCTTATCCCTATCCTCTAACACCACATTGTTGAATACTTCGCAAAGATTATTCAGAACTATATCATTCTTGGTTTACAATCATGCATTCCGTATCTCTTAAGTATCTTATCGACAAAGCTCTTTTGTAATAATTCAAGAATACCACCGAGAACAATTCCGGTGTATCTATATTCCTAATACAAAAGAGGCGTCATCAAGATCTTTCATTTCAAATTTTTTTGATAGAAATCTTAGTTCTGTACAATAGGCATATATCATTGCAGGCAAGCAGTATGTCATCGACATACAAAATTAGAAAAATATACTTACTCACGGTAAACTTGTAATATACACAATCATCAACTGCATTTATTACAAAGCTAAACGAGATTATTATTTGATGAAAATTGTGATACCATTGGCAAGAAGCCTGCTTAAGTGCATAGATGAATTTCTTTAATTTTCAAACCATTTTCTTTGGGTCTCTTGACACAGAGTTTTCCGATTGCATCATATATATCGTCTCATCATTGTTATCATTGAAAACCACTGTCTTTACGTCTATCTAATGTAGCTCAAGATCAAAATGTTCTATATGTGCCATCATAATCCTAAAACGTCATCGTCTTTTATGGACTTTATTTTCTCGTTCATGATATCTAACCATTTTTTAGAATTATCACTTTGCATTGCTTGATGAAAGTTGATTGTATTTCTTCCATCAATCAAATACCATCCTCATGTTCTCAGAGAAATACTATAAACTCATCCGAAATTGCATTTCTCCTTTCTTTAGTGGATCTCCTAAATGGCATTTGTTCTTAAAGTTGTTGAGTTTGTTCTTCAGTAACAATCTCTTGATTGCTTATAAGGGTTCTGGAATGTTGCTTTGATCCGATATTGCTTATTGAACAAGATTTGGAGTAAGAATTTTTCCCTAGTCAAGATCATTATCAATTGCAACCAAATGAATATTTATATATTTTCTCTCAAAGACAAAATTCCTAACCTTATCTCCTCCTGCAAACTCTACATCTTCAAAGAACCAATCATTTCCCATTTTCAAAAATTGAATATATAGTGGGATCAAGAAATTTGTAACCACTTGATCTCTCAAAGTATTTAATGAAATGGCAACTGACAGTTCTGAAATCAATTTCTTTTTATTAAGTCTATAAGGCCTAACGTCAACTGGACAATTTCAAATGTACAAATGCTTCAAAGTAGGCTTCTTGCCTGTTAAAAGTTCATAAGGGGTTTTGACAGTTACTTTACTCAAGACTCTATTGAGAATATAAGCTATAATTCGTAGAGAGATTTTAGCTAGATAAAATGACTAATCATACTCCTTATCATGTTTTTAAATGTTCTATTTTATCTTTTAGCAAAATCGTTCATGCTAGGAGAACCTGGCATGGTGTATTGTGGGACGTTCCACATTCCTCTAGGAATTTAGCAAAAGACCCTGGGTGTTGTTTTCTTAATCCGTCATATCTGCCATAGTATTCACCATCACGGTTAGATCTAATGTGTTTTATGCTTTTACCGATTTGGTTTTCAACTTTCTCATTATAAGCATTGAACATATCTAATGATTGGGATTTCTCTTGAATGAGATATAAGTAGTCATTGCGTGAATAATCGTCTATGAACGTAATAAATAATTGTTGACCATTCCAAGAAGTTATAGGGAATTACCCACAAATATTCGTATGAATTAGTTCTAAGCTGTCTAAAGTCCTATTAGCACATAATCTCCTTATGTTTGCTTGTTTTTCCCTTAATACAATTTACCCAAACATTTAAGCCTGAAAAATTAAGGGGATCAATAATTTCTTGTGATATAAGATTTTTTATTCTCTTTCGAGAAATGTGACATAAACCCTTGTACCATAATGAACCAAAATTTTCATTATTTAATTTACGTTTAATACCCCATGAGTTGACATGCAATGTTTCATTATAAGAGGCAATCGAATTAAGTATCAATTATCATATCCAGATAGAGAATCAGTACCCGCAAGATTTGAATCTAGAAAAAAGACTAAATTTATTATTTTTAAATGAACAAGAATAATCGAATTTGTCCAAACCATAAATAGGAACCAAATTTTGTCTAAAAGATGGTACCACAGAAGTCTCTTTCAAATTCAAATTCAAATTAGTCTTTAATAATAATCTAAAAGTCCCTATAGCCTCAACTTCTACTAATTTGTCGTTGCCTACGTAGATGGATCTTTCAGCATCATTTGGCTTTTGGTTGTTCAAGCAATCCTGTACAGACACAATTATATTAGTATTGGCATTGAAATTAGCCCACTAAGTATGTCTAAGTATTGAAATTAAAGTTGACAATACAGACAATGAGTTGGCTTATTTGGAATCCATTCACTTGTTTGTGGAGATACTGGATCAT